TCAGTGGAGCCTGGTGCTGGGCCATGGCCAGGACTCCCGGGCTCTTGTCTGGAGTCCATCCCCAGGTGTCGGCCGAGGTTCACCCTTCCTGGCAGCTGTCCCTTCACGGTGGGCAAGGTGGTGCCGGCCAGGCAGGAAGTGCTGTCGGGACTTCCTTCTCTGAGAGGCGGTGGCCGCGTCACAGACAGGCTCTGCCCCTGCCCTCCTCCTCTGTCCCTCAGTCCTTCCCTCCCATCCAGAAACAGCTGCGGAGCCTCCGTCTAGGCCCTGGAGTCCACAGTGGCCCCACATGCCCTGTGGCTGCGGAGTAGGGTCTGGCAGGAGGTGGACAATGGAGGTAGTGGGCAGGCTGCGGCATGCGGCCGGGGCCAAGCCTATGGGGGGGAGCCGTGGGCCTGCTTTGGCCAGCGGGGTGTCTGCAAGGTGAGCAGAGGCCCATTAAGTGGGCACTGACTTGCTGGAGTCTGCATGCCGCGAGGAGGCCTGTCCAGCTGTTGGTCACCCCTGCGGGCCTGCCCACACACAGCACCTGCCTGAGTGAGCCCAGGTGAGGCCCAGGCCCTGCCCAGCCAGCTCCCAGAAGCACAGCACATCCTAAGTCCTTCTTTTTGGCCACCGGCTCCTGGGCTGGTGGTCACACACCAGTTGGAAGCTGAGACAGAACCAGTACGTGGAGCACGGGGCCCTACTTGCTCTGGGACTGGGCGGCCGGCAGGGGCTGGAATGGCTGCCCGCGGTGTCCATCAGCCAAGCTCTCAGCTCGGGGTGGTGGGTGGCCATGGTGCTGAGTGCTCAGGCACGTGGCCAGCTCAGCTGTGGGCGGGCGGGGCGTTGAGGTGCTGCAGTAGCCGAGTGGCTTACATTTGGTGCAGAGAGAGGACGCTGCAGAAGAAGCAGAGCCAGAGGAAGAGGCAGGAGAAGTGATGATCTCTCCAGCCAGGACAGAGCTCAGGGCAGCCGACTCTAAGGGCCGTGGGCAGGATCCTGAAGGCCGCAGGGCTGGGGCCAGGAACCCGAGCGGGCTGCCCCCCAGCAGCTGGCCAGTACAGAGGGCAGAAAGTTGTCCATGGGAGAGGACACCTTGTCTGGACCAGGACCCTAGGGCAAAGGTAGACATGCAGAGTCACCCTCAGGAGGCCAGACTGGGCTGGAACCAGGAGTCCAGTGTGGCCTGGCTGGACTGGGTACTGCCCAGGGCGAGAGACTACTCACCATCCCTCCCCTATTTGGGGGTATCGAGGGCCTCTAGCCTCGTCCTGTGTCTCACAAGAGAAGGTACCCCCAGCAATGGCGTGGGCCTCACCCACTCCTGGCCTGGTGGGGACAGCAGACCCCAGGCTGGCCCCTGATGGAGTTCCCGGGGTGGCCTCAGGTCATGTGGGGGGATGTTTTCCATGTGGTCAGAGAGCAGCTGTGATGGCTATACCTGGTGCCCTGACATGGAGAGGTGAGGCCTGGAAGCTTGGTTTGTGGTGTTCTTTCTTGGTCCTGGGGACTGGACGTGGGGCACTTCACCAGGAGCTATGCCCATGCCACTTCATCTCTTATTTTAAGACAAGAGCTCAGCAAGTTGCTGAAGCTGGCCTTGAACTGCGGTTCTCCTGGCTCAGCCTCCCGGGTCGTTGCAATCACAGGTGTGACCACTGTGCCCAGCCCAGCCTCTTCTTGAGTCTGGGCTCCACGGCTGCCAGTCCAGCAGGATGTGGCTGCCCAGCTTCCACTTCCTGTTTCCTGGACTCGGCCACTGCTGTGAGGGAGCCGCGGCCGGATGTGTGTGAGCCCTCGCAGGACTCCAGCCCGGGCTGCCCGTGGCCTCCCAGACACAGTTGGAGCCCAGGGAGCGAGGGCTACTCTGAGCACCGGGGGCGGGTTTGCTGTGCAGCCAGCAGGACAGAGGCCCCGCCATGACAGACCTGGGGTGGTGGCAGCCCCGCGTGGCTCTCAGAGGCCTTGTGGGGTGGTCTGCTTTCTCTGCCAGTGGGGTCTGCTGGCCTGGGTGCGAGCGAGCGAGGCTACCCGTACCTCTCCTTCCACCTCATGCCGGTCAGTCCAGGAGGCCCCCTGCGGTCCCCCGTTTCCGGCCCGGCTGCCCATTATGATCAGCTTTGCCCGGGGTCCTGTTCCAGACAAGGGTGCCTCACAGGGCGGGAGACCGTCGCAGGCACGAAGCTAACGGGGTCCTGGGAACCACAGCGCACCTGGACCTGAGCCCTCACCGGGGGATGCTGAGGGTCAGGGCTGGGAACGTTTTGCAGGGGGTTGCACCCATTCAGTAAGTGGGGAAACTGAGGCCTAGAAGGGACACTGGTTGGCTGGAGGTCTCCTGCCCCTGCCTGAGGCCCGCCACCTTTGGAGCCTCATCCCACGGTCAGGGGGGCCTGTCTTCCTCCTGGGCTCCAAACAGTGCTGGGGTCTCAGGCGGCTGGGCTAAGTGCCGCCTGGCACCGGGCAGACCCTGGGCTGGGGGATGGCGCTGCTGCCCCGTCCTGCCCAGGGGCCCCAGAGGGGGCAGAAGGCAGTAGCCTTGAGCTTCTGTTCAAAGGGCCACTGGTGGACAGCAAGAACTGTGCTGTAGGAAAGGGGATGGCCTCAGGCTCACAGGCCTGGGGCCAGGTCAGGTCCCCCCAGGACCAGGGTGCCTCCCTGAGATGGCGCTGGCCAGCCCCTGCAGCTCGGCTTCTGGCAGCTGCTGTGTGCTGCTGCTGGGTCCCACGGCCTGCGTGCCACGTGGGGACAGGTGGTGTGGTTGGGAGGGAGCACAGCCCTTCCCTGGTGGCATCTGCTTCCCTGGGCTGCGCAGGCGGCTCTCTGCACACCCCCGGGCTCTCGAGGGCGGGGTTCCGGAAGGTGCCCCCCACCCAGAAGGCTGCCCGCAGTGATGGGTTCTCTGGGGAAACAAGTGGCCACCAGGAACCTGTGCCTCAGGCCAGGAGAGGCCGTGCCAGCAGGGGGCTGCCTGCGGCCCACAGCCCAGCCGCTCTGCTCGGGCGCTGCGGTCCTGTCCTGGGGGTGAACCCAGGGGCTCTGCCACTGCCCACCTCCCTGGGCAGGTTTGGGCCAGACCTTGGGGCCTCCGAGTGGACCCATCTGGTGACCTCTGTAGTCACACGCCCTTGCCTGTCTGCCCTGCAGCTCCCGTGGTGGGAAGCCGTCCTGGGTTCAGGGTCTCTGGGCTGGGAGGCTTTGTGTGCCAGCCATCCTGACTGCCCACAGGGCTTGGCACTGCCCACTGCAGTGCCTCAACCCCAGCCCCCGAGCGCCAGTCCTGGGCGCCCAGCTCAGTCCTTGGGGAGCCCGCCCAGACCTCCACACTGGACACACCTGAACCACTCACTCCAGGGGTCTGTGTGGCTGGTGGGTGTGTGCCTGGGGACTCCGTCCATGGGGCTGGCTCCATGTTGGTGTGCGTGTGCAGCTCGCCTGTGCCGGAGAGTGCTGTCGGGGCCACGTGTCAGTGTCTGAGTGCGGAGCTCCCGGCCTGCTCAGGTGTGGGTGGTCTGTGGTGGGCTGAGCAGGTGTGATGGAGAGGCCAGGCTCCCTGGCCAGATGGATGCTGCCACCTAGTGGCCAGGCTCGGGCGGTCCCCGCGGAGGGTCTGGGCTGCAGCATGGGCTGGGGGCCCCAGGGGGTGTACATGTGGACCGAGGCAGGGCTGGCTCATGCCGGTCCCTAAGCAGGGCCTAGATGGTTGGGGAAGGGTCCTTGAGTCAGCCCCACAGGGCGTGTGAAAGGCCAGAGTGCCCACCTGCCCAGGACACCTGAGCACAGCTTCCTCCTGGGACCAGGGATCTGAACGGGGCAGGGCAGGACTGCTGACCGGGTCACCCCTGGTCTCCACCCCCTTTCTGAGACACGACTCAGATGGCTTACGCCCCTGTCCTGCTCCCACCCCTGCGGTTGAGGCCCTCTCTTCCTCCCCCTGGTCCGGCTCTCCAACCTCCGGGCTGAAGCCCTGCTGTGTAGCCCAAGACCCCCTGGAGACCAAGCCTCCTGCACATCCCCCCAGTGTGCTCCATGCCCCAGAACCTGTCCGGGGCCCCTGGGCATGTACCTGGGACAGGGCAGGTGACCACAACTGCACTCACAGAGCCCTTCTCTGGCAGGTCACTCTGTAGAGTGGGCCACCTGCAAAGGCTGGCAGAGGCCACCGGCCATGAGCAGAGGGGGACCAGTGGCTGGCTGGGGTAGAGGGTTGGTGGGGACCTGGAGGGGCAGTCCTGGTGGAGGGGCTGTGTGGGCAAGGGCCGGGCAGGGCCACTGCATTAGACCTATAGGCCTGTGGGGCAGATCTGCCATCAGAGGAAGAGGCCACCCTGGGCTTGGACGCTGTGCTGAGACCCCATTATGTCCTGTGGAACTGTGGGGGGCTGATCTTCCCCCAGCACACAGGGCTCCCTCCTTTGCCCAGGAAGAGACTGCCCTTGGGGGTCAGCCTCACCTGGTAGAGGCTTGACCCTGGATATTGGGGCCTTTAAGGATACAGCAGACCCCAGGGGTTGCAGCCAGGGTTGGGGGTCTGTGGGTGCCGCCTCTCATGCTGCCCAGCACCCCCTAAGTGGGGCCCTGCTAGGTGCTCCCCAGTCCTCCCCTCAGCTCCCAGGGCCCCTCCCGAGAGCCAGGGACTATGGAAGCAGCAGAGGGACTCCACTCCACCCGCACTGTCAATGGCCGGAGGACTGGCAGGCCTGGGAGGCAGGACAGCCAGGCGGCCTCAGGGACCCAGCCTGGCAGCTGTCTTCCAGGCCTAGCAGGCACCAGCTCTGCCAGGTGACCTCTATTGAGACCCCGACAGCCTGGGCCTGGGCTTCCCCCCCGTAAACGGACGTGCTCAGCATGTGCAGCCCACCCCACTGTGCCCTCAGGTCCTGCCTGTGTCCTCACAGCCCAGGCACAGCCCGGCACATGGTGGCCCCAAGAAGTGCCCTGGAGGTGGATGTTTCCTGGCCCTCGCTCTGCGGCGCGGGGCGGGCGGGGGAGAAGGAGACGCCATTCAGCCGGGGTTTTCTGCGAAAATAGTGGGAATATATTTGAGAAGATGAGTTAGCTGTGATTTTTACAGTATGGCTTCAGAGTCTCCGTCTCCGTCCACACGAGATGCTCTCTGAGGCCCACAGTACCTTCTAGAGAGGCTGATTTCGTCTCTTTGGAGATGTCAAAATAAAACCTTTGACACACATGGCACCAAGCTAAGAGCCACAGGACAGCAGCCTCGAGCCTGAGCCCCAGGGGGCAGGAGCCTCCCTGCTCTCCCAGGACCGCACCTGTGGGGGCAGTCAGTGCCCGGCGGACGCTCTCGCCCCCGAGGCCCTGAAGGTGTCCCTCGCTGCGGGGACTTCAGGCTGGAGCCTGGCTGGAGGCCAGTGAGACTCAGCCGGGCGTCCTCAGCCTCCCTGACCCGGAGTCCTGCCCAACCCCTGGTCCAGATTAAGTCAAGGCAGCTGTATTCACATTACAACACGAAAGTAGCACCAGAAACCTCAGCGCAGAGTCCCCGGGACCGAGCGGAGGGTCTGCGTGGGCGGGCCTCGCCTGGTGGAGCCCCCGGCAAGGCCTTCTGCAGGAACCCGTGGGAGCCTGGTCGGCCCCCAGGAGCCAGGTGCAGCGGGAGCCTCCACAGTGTGGTCACAGGGAGGAGGCCTGTTGTGCTGTTGGGGACCAGGTGGCTCAGAAATGGCCCGTGTGGAATGCCCTGCCCCAGGGATTCCAGCAGCGGCAGCAAGCAGCAAGACTCAGAGGGGCGCCGGCCCCAGCTTACTTCCCCTGGGTGATGGGGTCCCAGTGCATTCCACGGCCCGTGGCGCCTGGCCCAGAGGGCACACAGGGCTGGGGAGGGCACGGTCTACTTGCTCTTCAAGTACTGGGTACCAAGGAGGCAGCAGTGTGGTCTCAAAGGGGCTGCAGCTGCCCATCCCTCTCCCCTGTGCTCCGGCGAGAGAGGGGCTGCTGTGCCCGGCAGCCTGCGCGGAGCACTGCCCAGCTCCTGCAGGCTGGGGCAGGCAGGTGCCCCGACTTTCAGCTACACTGAAGGAGAGTGGCGCAGAACCCGCGTGCCAGGCGCCCCACAGCCGCCAGAACTCCGGTTACTCCGAAGTGAACTTCTTTAAAGGGATCTTGAAGCTGGTCAGTCTCTGGCCAAAGAGCTGGTTGAGGAGGTTACTCTGGGACTCCGCAGTGCGGTGGTCTCGGAGTCTGGGGGCCTCGGCACTGTGGACAGCTCTACCCCTCTTGGGGGCCCTGAGCAGGAGTCTGGCTTGGGGACTGTGCTTGCTCAGTGCCTCCCCCCTGTGGGCACGGCTGTGTGCCTCCCGCTGCTCTGAGGGTGGTGGCCTCATCTTCCCGTGCTGGCTACTGGGTCTGGGCTTGGTGGGGGGCACGCGGCTGGGAGCAGGCTGTTTTCGGGGGGTCCGGAGGGGCTTGTCGGGGGCCACAGGGGCTCTGCCGGAGCCCCCCACGCCTTCACGCTTGGCCGGCTCCAGGGCCTGGCTCTTCCTCCTCTTCTCCCTGCCCGTCTCCCTGGGGCTGGGGGAACCGCGGGGCCCCTGGACTCCAGCCTCTCTCGGGCCCTTGGTGCAGCCCCTGGCCTGGGTTCGAGATGGGGACTTAGCTGAGGCGGGGTTTGGGCCAGGGTGTAGGGGCCTGGCCGGGGTGCTGGCTGTCTCGCTTTGGAGCCGCCCACTGGCTGGTTGGGGCTGGCTGCCGCCTCCTGTCTGGGTGCCAGGCCACGGGCACCTGTTGCCCTGGGAGCTGGCTCTTGGCTTGGCCTTGGGGGAGGTGGGCTTCACCCTATCCTCAGTGCTCTGGGCCTGCTCTCGGGGTGCCGGGCTCCCTCTCCCCACGGGCTTCCTGAGTGGCCCCAGGGGCTTGGGTGCATGGCTGGGAGTGGACGCTGCTGCTCCTTGCTTTGGGGGCTTGGTGGCACCACCCTTGTGGGAAGGACCCCTTGTACCCCTCTCGGGTGCCACATGGGGTGTGGACACCTGCTTCTTTTTTTGGAGCGGGAAGCGGTCTTCTGAGGAGCCATCAGACGCGCATCTGCTGCGGACACCCGGGCTCCTGTGTCCCCCTGAGAACGGGGCGGGAGGCCTCTTTTCCTCCCGGGGAGGCTGCTGCTCGCCTGGCCAAGCCGTGTCTTCAGGCCTCTCTAGGGTTGGGTCCGGTCCCTGGTCACAGCTGCCACCAGCCAAGGCCGTGGGGAGCGGTGACAGAGCCGGGGGTGGGAGCTCCTGACTGTGTGGTGGCCGCTGGTCTTCCCTGGCCGCGGGGCTGGGTGGGTGGGGCCAGCTCTTGGTGGTGCTGGGAGCCGACTCTGGGCAGAGCTGGGGCAGGGCAGGAGGGCTCAGGGTAGGGCTGCCTAGGGACAAAGGCCCGGACAGAGGCCCGGTCACAGCCACACCCAGCCCTGGGGGGCTGCTGGGCACAACCACCTTTCGCCTTTTGCTGGGCAGCACGCCCTCGAGGGCCAGGGCCTTCTGCCTGGGGGTCGCTGGCCGTCGCACACGGCGGAGCGCCAAGGGCTGCTGGCTGCCCCTCAGGTGCTTCTCCATGTGTCGGTCGAACTGCTCCTTCTTGGCAAAGGTGTAGTTGCAGGAGCTGCAGACAAAGGACCTCCTGATGACGTGCATGACGTTGGCGCAGAGCTCGCAGGCGTACAGTGGCGTGTGGGGCAGCTCCCGCTCCTCCTGCAGCCCGTGCACCCCACCCAGGTGCGCCCGCAGCTCGCAGAGCTCCGGGTAGACGCCCGGGCACCGGGGGCAGAGGTAGACGCGCTGCGGGCTGTGCACCGCCAGGTGGCGCTGCAGCTTGAAGGGCTTGGGGAACCGCTTCCCGCAGTGGTGGCAGTCTCTGGAGGGGTCCCTGCAGGCTGCGTGCATGGGGACAGCTGGCAGGAGCCGTTCCCTTTGGGGCCAAGGGTCAGGGGCCAGGCTGGGAGACGTCTTGGCAGAGTGGGTGGCGGAGCTGCCGGTCGGAGCTGCTGGGCTGCTGCCGCTGGCTGGCCTGACCTGCTCCCTAGCGGTCTCCTCCTCAGCTTCCCGTCCCCCCTCTGACGTCTCCCTGGGGCTCCCACTTGCTCTGTCCCCTGTGGGCCTGCTGCTGCGGGGTCTGACCGGCTCCATGACGGTGTCCAGGAGGTGTGTGTGGGTGCTCTCAGGCGCCAAGTCGCGGGGCAGGCCCCCCCAGGGCTGCTGCGCCTGCCCCCTGCGGGCGAAGCGGGCGGCGTGCTCCCGCAGGTGCTGGTTGTACATCCAGACGTCGGCCACCTCCTTGAGGCACAGGCCACAGGCCCAGGGCCCCACTCTGCCCTGCAGGTGCCTCTCCTGGAGGTGCTCCCGCAGCCGCTGCCGCGAGCAGAACCTGCGCTCCACGCACAAGTAGCAGGTGGGGGGCGGCGAGGGGCTGTGCGCCAGCTTGTGCACGTCCAGCTCGCCCAGGCTGCAGAGGCGCTGGAAGCACACCCTGCACTTGTAAGAGGCCCTCCTGCCCCGAGCGGGCAGCTCCCGGCCTCCAGCCTGAGCTGGCCTGGCCGCCCCCGGGGCCCCTTGGCTCCCTGGCCCCTGTGGGTCTGCTGCAGCCCTAGAATCCAAGAGGCTGGAGCTGAGCAGGCCGGCGAGGTCGCTGCGGGGGCCCAGGAAGCACAGGTCTTGCACCTCCAGCTTGGCACCGAGCATGTCCAGGTCCTGGGCGTGACGCGGCAGTAGACTGGCACTCCCAGGAAGCCCGTCATCGTAGCGCTCTCTCTCCAGGTCGGGGGGCTCTGGGCTCTCGGCTCCCAGAGGAGGAGTCCCATCGTTGGGGGCCCGCAGGCTCAGGCCTCGCCATGCCGCTGGGACCATGTGCAGTTTGGGGATGGCCTCCAACTCCGCGTCTTCTGTGCAGCCGGACGGGGCCTCTTCCCCGGGGCCCGCTTCCCTGTGGGGCTCCGGGGCCCACAGGCTGAGGCTGGGGGCCCAGGGGTCGAGGCTGGGTACCTCGCTGCCCAGGAGCCCATCCAGGAGGAAGGGCTCGGGCAGCACCACGGCCTCATCCTCCCAAGGGTCCTGCAGGGAGAGGCAGAGGGCGCCCGGGTCGCTGAGGTCTGGGGGCAGGTGGGTGGGGTGCAGCAGGTCGCCCCCCTGGCTGCGGGGCTCTGTGGGTGGCGGGCGCGGAGGCCTCTGGCACCCCTTCCCGTAGACCCGGGGATTCTTCTCTTGAGTGAAGCGACCACCCAAAGGGAAGAGCTGGGCAAAGGACACGTCGTCATCAAGCGAGCTCGGAGGGTCCACGGGCCCCGGGCCCCGGGCAGCAGGGACGGTGCCCTGAGGCCCCTGCCCCTCAGCCCGGGCTCCTGGGCGGCTCCGAGGGCCGCTGCGGATGGTCTTGCCCACTACAGAATCGGATGCCTTTGGAGGGTCTGGTGCCCCCTCCCCTGTGCGCTTGCCTGACCGGCCCCTGGCCCCTCTGCTGGCCTCTGCAGGCTGGCTCCCGGGCTCTCTGATGTCTCTGGGTCCCCGGCACCGCCTTGCTGAGGCTCCCCTCCACCCTGCTGGCAGTTCCCCAGGCAGCACCCCTTCTGTCCCTGCCTCCATCTTCCCCGGAAGGAGCTGCTGGTCTCTGGGTGACTTGGGTGCCATCTCTGCACTCAGAACCCCCAAGCCTGTGTCTGCCTTGTCCTCTAGGACCTCAGGCCCCAGAGTGGCCGGGCGAAGCCACTGCCCCACACTGGCCTCACACGCTCCCTCCCGTGAGAGGCAACAGCTCGGAAGGGCTGCGTGGTTGGCGGCTGCCACCACTGGGCTGGCGCTGCACCCACCTGGACCCGCGCCTGCGGAGGCTCCCCCAGTCCCCCGCTTTCCCACCTTCCTGTTCCCTTTCCCCTGTGGCTTGGGGGAGCCCCGGGGCTCTGCAGGTCGCCTCTGGTCTTCTCTGTTCTCTGTCTGCTGGGGAGGGAGCTGGTCCACCTCCGGGGGGCCTGGCCTTCCGGGCTTTGGGGCTGGAGCCCTCACACCCTCCCCCTGCCCCACGGGGCCTGGGGGGTGTGGGAGCGGGTCACAGGGAGAACCTGGGGTCCTGGGCTCGCCAGGGCTCCTCCTGGCTTCCTCCAGCGTCTCGGGACCCAGGGTGTCCTCAGGCACTGTGGAGCCCTGGATGGGGGAGGGCCCAGGGGTGCGGCCAGGGCTCCTGACTGAGGGACTTGGTGGGTCACCCCCAGGCCCCTTGTGGCTCCTCTTCCTGGGGCCCCGGCGTGCCCCAGGGCTGGGCTGGCAGGTGGCGGGCTTGCGTGGCGGGTGCTTCCTGGCCCTGTGCCTGTTCAGACCTGGCCTGGAGCGGAAGGAGGCCGAGCAGGTCTCACAGGTCACAGGGAGCCCGGGCCTGGCTGGGGCGTGGCTCTCCTGGTGGCCTGTCTCTGTGGGCTCTGGGTTCTTTCGGAAGCCCCTCTGTTTGGGGTCCTTCTGGGGTGTCAGGTGGGGGACGCTGCTCGGCGGGGAACCAGACCTGAGGTCACAGGCTGCGCTGCTGGAAGAGGCCGCTTGGGCCTGGCAGAGCCCCGCGGGGGACGGGCGCCGCGCTGGGCCACTGGGGTCGGCTCTGGGAGCTCTTCTCAGGCCCGGGTGCCTGGCCCCAGGTGTCCCTGGGTCCCCCTCTCCCTCTCGGCCAGCCCCTGTCTCACCTCCCAGGTAGGCATGAGGGTTTGGCTCGGTGGCCCCTGGTGGGGTGGGCACAGCCAAGGGGCTCTCCCCTTCCCCGTGGCCAAGGAGGGGGGTGTTGCCTGGGGGCTCTGAGGAGGGACCCTCGGACACACTGCAGGGGCTGGTGTCAGTGGCTCCGCTCAGGTGGGGGTCTGACGCCCAGAGCCCTCTGCCCATCTCGGTGCCATCTTCAGTGGGGATGCTGGACGGGCCAGCAGCCTGGGTGGTCACTGCCGGGGAGATGGCCCCCGCGGGGGGTGCAAGGCGGTGGTGGGCAGGAGGCCTTCCCAGTCCCTCTGTCTGGGAACCCTCTGGAGCTCTCCGCGGGCCGACTTCAGCGCCATAGTCCTTGCAGGTGGGGGTTAGGGCAGCACTGAGCTCAGGCCGGCAGCAGGGAGGGTCCTGGGGGCTCCCGGCCCTCAGGAGCGGGCAGCCAGGCGGGATCTCCTTGGGGCCACAAGGGCTTGTGGTCAAAGATGGAAGAGCTGCCGGGGCCTCCCTGGCCCTGGCCCCTGGGGGGGCTTGCACACCGCTGGCCCCTCCCACCTGGCCCTGGGCACAGGAGGTAGGTGCTGGGAGCAGCCCTGGGGTCTGGCCTGGGTCCTCTGGGCCACTGGAGGGCCTGGAGGGAGGCTCTTCCCCGGGCAGGGGCTCGAGACTGCAGGGAGCTAGGGTGGCCATGGCAATGGACGCGGCGTCATGGGTGCCCAGGTCCCCAGCGTGGGGTGCAGGGCTCTCCCTGTTGAACAGCAGCTGCGGGTCCAGGCCTGAGCTGGACACCTTGCCTGGACCTCTGTCCTCAGGGCCCTGGGTGTGGGCTGCCATCGGGGCTGGTGGTGAGCGAGTCCCACTGGAGGACGAGGGGCCTGGAGTGGGTGGCGCCTGCGTCCCCAGGCCCAAGGGCGCCTGGCTTTCCTCAGGCTCAGGGGTGCCCCTGGCCGGCCTGGCCAGGGGGTTTGCAGGGTGGGCACTGGACCTGGCCAGGCTACCTGGGCCCCCTGGTTCCCTCCAGCTAACTGGCTGAAGCGAGCTGGCCTCTCCACAGCCCGCCGGCTTCTCAGCTTGGCCAGGTGGGCCCAGGTGTCCTTCGGCCTGGGGCGCCCGCTGAGGTCCAGTGGCTGCAGGGTCAGCTGTTGCCTGCTTGCACCCTGGGGAGCCGCTTTCCCCACCGGGCCCTCCTGGGCCTGGGGGGGCTCTGTGTGGAGGACCTTGGGCCGCAGCAAGCAGCACCCGCCGTGAGCCCTGGTCGCTGTCATTGCTCCCGGCTCCGGCCTCCAGGACCTGGAGTGGCCGTAAGCCGAGGGAGGCCGGGGCCTGGGGCCCCCAGCCAGGGCTTGGTGTGTGGGGGTCCCGAGGCTCCCTGCCCCGAGGTGCTGGGGCAGCCCCCTTGCCCTCAAAGCCAGGCCCCTCTGTCATGGGGAAGAGGGGCCCAGCCACTTTGGGTCCTCCTGCTCTGCCCCCAGAGTGTTCCTCGGGGATGACACGGTGACAGGCACCTGGAGGCAGATCCCCATCTGCCTGAGTCGCGAGGTCGGGAACCAGATAGATGCTAGGGTGGCCGCGTGCCCATGCGGGGGGACCTTGGCTGCACCCCCCTGCCTCAGGGGGCTCTGGGGAGCGCCCTCCACTCTGTTCACAGGGAAGCCACAGAGGGGTGTCCTCCGTCCCCTGTGTCCTGACGGTCTCATTAGGAAACAGAAGTGCCTGGTTTGGGCTGCGCCTGGCCGACTGCATGGCCTCCAGCTGCCCACTGAGGTCTCGGCCATCTCCTTCCTTCTCTGAGACTCTGGCCATCTGCTCTGCCTGGGAACTGAGGCTGCCCCCTGGGGGCCCAAGAGCAGCACCAGAACCTGGGTCTTCGTGGGTGCTGGGGGGAGGCACTGCTTGCCCTGGGTGGCTGGGGGCTGGACAGGGCCACTCTCCCTGGAAGCCCCCGCGAGCCCCATCCTCCGCAGCTGGGCCTGTCTCTACAGCTTCCTGGTGGACATTAGATTCCCCAAGGCCCATGAGGTCCAGTGCTGAGACTGTGTCCCCGGGGGTCGAGGCTGGCTCTGGGCCTGGGCCGGGGCACACACTGTTGGCAAGTGGCACTTCGCCAGGCCCCCCTGGGGCGCCCTGGGTGTCCCCCGTCCTCTGCAGCTGGCTTTCCAACTCGCTGACCAGTCTTTTGATTTCCAGTTCCTCCTCGGACAGACTGCCCAGGCTGCACTCACTTCCCTTCCCAGGCACAGGGGGCACGGGCGCCTCGTGGGGACACTTCTTACCCAGGGTCATTCCCCCTGAGAGGCCAGGAAACTGGCTGGGCAGCATTGGCACCTCTTCCTCCAACAGCAAGAAGGGTGGGCAGAGAGGGTCCATCAGAGGTTTCCTTGGGGGGGTGCCGGCTGGTGCCATGGGTGTGTGGGCATCCCCGTCTGCAGACCGGCCGTGGCCCAGTGGTGGATCGAACCCCTCCTCGGGCAGCCCCGCAAAGAGGGATGTGGACTCCAAGGTCAGCAGCGAGGGGGCGCTCCCCGGGGGGGTGTCAGTGGCGTCAGGTGAATGTTGGAGAGGTCTCGGCTCCAGGGTATCCACGCTGTCTGGGCCGAGGTGGCCGCGACTGGCCCCCTGGGTGTGGGCAGCCGAGGGCCTGGAGCACAGGCCTCCAGGGAGACAGCCCTCGAGGTCTCTGGGTCGGAGGAGCAGTTCAGTGGATGCGCTGCTGCTGGGGTGGGGCTCCTTTCCGGCAGGGGGGCCCCCCACGGAGTCCCTGTCAGGGCCAGCAGGGTCACAACCTGCATCAACGTTCTGAACAAGCAGGACGTGGGGTTCAGGGTGGGCGGAGACAGGCCTCGGAAGCCCTCCTGGACGGTCAGCAGGACAGTCCCCGGGGCCTGGGGCGGCAGTGCTCTGGCTGGACCGCTCGCGGGCTTGGCTTCCTGGTGGCCAGGGTCTGCCAGGCTGTGTTGGTTCTGGGGCTGGTGGCCTGGCACCTTCTCCCTCACAGATGGCTGGAGAAAGACTGGGCCCGTCTCTGAGTCCGGTGGCCTCGGGGGCTGATTCTTGGGCTGCTGCAGGCCCCTGGGCCTCCTGGGGGAAGTCCGAGGGCAGCTGGTCCTCCTCTGGGCCCTTGCTGTTGGCAGGAAGCTGAGGACGATGGTTGGGCGGTGCCCAGGGGCTGTCAGTGTGCTCGAGGCCATGCTCCACAGCGGCCTCTCCAGCATCGGGGCTCCCTGATGGGCTGCAGGGCCCCCCTGCGGCTGGGGTGCCCCTGTCCTTTCTGGCTTCTGGCCTCTGGCCTTTCCTGGGGCCCCGGGGTGGGTCCTCCTCCCTTTTCTCACCTCCCTGCCACCGCCTAGGGCCGGGGCAGGAACGGCCCCGGGAGCTAGCACCACGTTGACGGGGACACTCCTCCTCGGACTCAGAATCGCACTCCCTGAGCCTGCTGTCCTGGGCACGGGGCAGGGCCCTCTGGGTCCGAGGGGGGCCGGGCGCACCTCGCGGTGCCTGCCGCCTGGGGAGCTGGCTCTTCTGCTGCACCATCTTGTGGATGAGCTCCTTGCTCCAGGTGCCACCCCGGGCCCTCCTTTTCCGGGGGTCTTTCTTAGCGGGCAGCCGCAGGCGCCTGGAGCTCCTGGTCTCTGCAGTGAGGGAGGTGGCTCCCGGGGCCCGGCTGTCTGGATCTGTGTGGCCCCGGGCCGGAGTTCTGAGGTCCCGGGTGCGGGGCGGGGGCCGCTCAGTGCTGTGGCCTCTCCTCCTGGGCCTCAGGCAGGGTCCCTTGGGGCCACTGGCTATGTCCAGTTCTTTACGAAGCAGCTTGAACCGCTTCCCCCTCCTCTGCGGCTTGACCAGGCTGATGGCATCTGCCTCCGTGGGCACCAGGCCCAGAGAGCGGGTTTTGGGCCGATTTCCGGGTGGGCAGCTTCTGTCCCCAGGGCAGGGGGCTCGGGACTCTGGTGGGTCAGCTTTGGCGGGGAGCAAGTCCTCGGCACTGTGCTCTGGGGTCGCCCCTGACCCGTTGTTGGTAGGTGGCCCAGGTCCGGGTCCTCTGGGGCCAGAAGGCTCCTCGTCGGCGAAGACATCGATGAAGCTGCTGTCTATCTCGGGGTTGTCCGACTGGCCCTCCAGGCCGTTGAGAGCCTCGGTGATGAGGCTGTCCAGTTTGGCCTCGTCCTCCAGGTCCAGGTCTGAGGCAGGGAGTGGGAAGGGGGTGGCTAGGCTGGGCAGGTAGCTTGTCCTCAGGGGATCATCCCTGGCTATCAGGAAGGGGACAGTCTGGCCATGGCTGAGTGGGCCTGTGTGCATGTGGGCGGGAGCCTGGGGGGTGGTGGTGGGTGCGGGGTGCCCCGGGGGCTGCTGGGAGCCGTCCCCGGCCCTGGCCGGCCTGCAGAAGTGCCTGTGGGCCAGGAAGCCTGCCAGGCTGCCGTAGTTGCGGTCACACTGCCTGCACGTCAGCAGCACGTCCAGCTGGTCCAGGCTGGCACTGCTCAGGGAGAAGTGTTGGCCGGGGTAGGGGGGCGGCTCCCGGGGGAAGCCCTGCAGCAGCCCCCTGCCGGCCCCGGGGCCCTCGGCGCCCAGCCTGTCGGTGGGGAAAGGGAAGGCCTTGGCCGGCTCCAGCTGG